GTGTGTGTGTGAGAGAGTGTGTGTGTGTGTGTGTGAGATGATTCACTCACTGGATGTCTGAGTGTGCAGAGCTCATAGAGAACACAGCCCAGAGACCAGATATCCCTACAGGACAGAGATCATCATCATCATCATCATCACTTCCTCAAACACTCCCTCCTTCTGCACAAACACATTATGTCAATGCACGTGTTTTCTTCAGAAATACAGGATATTTACTCCATTAAGAGAATGCATGCTATAATCTCAGACATATATTTTATGCAGCCCGTTTTTCAGTTCGCTTGAAATCGTACCTTAAATTAGTTTTTGCAATGTCCACTTTTTAAATTGATAAATTCAAAATAATGAATAAAAAACGTTAAGGTCAAGATCATCTATATTAAATCTCTTTCTACAATCTAAATATCACAATTCTAGATTAAATGTAATTTTCTTTCAAATAAAATTGTTTTTACATTTTACTCATGTTTCACAAAAATTCTGTCAACTCTGTTACTAACCAAACGCTTCAAAAACTAAAAAAGTTTGTGACCATCATCATGTGATGTCATTTTCTTTTATTTGAACACTTAAAAACCTAAATATTAATTGCCAGTCAACTATGTTAAAGTAAACTGTTTTTACACTTTTATCCTGATATAAAATGTGAGCTAAATTACAGACTGACAGGGAATGTTCCCATAATGTTTTTAAAGGTTATGTAAATGTTAGGACAAAACATTCTTAAAATAATGTTTATGGAACGTTCTTATAACATTATTAATATCTGATGCATTCTTGTAATGTTGAGAGGAAACATTCTTAGAAAAATGCTCTCCGAACGTCTTTATGATGTTATTTGTACGTTCTCAGAGCTGTGTTCAGTAACGTTCATCAGTGATCACAACACAACATTCTCATAATGTTTTCAGAATGATAAAATGGAATGTTTCTCTAATGTTCACATAACCGAGAAGAAACCTTCTCAAAACGTTTAAAAACATTCAGAAATAACGTTTTCATAACTTCATGGGTATGTTAATGCAAGACTTGTTTGTGATCTGAGAAAGAGTCGCGCAGCAGTCAGAGGAAGAGCAGAAGGACGTACGTTTTGTTGTTGTATGGTCTGTTCTCGCAGATCTCTGGAGACAGATAGTACGGCGTGCCGACACAGGTCCTGGCGAGCTCCATGGTGCTGCTCGACACAGACGACAGAAGAGCATCAGAACACACCCCACACACACACACACTCACACACACACACACACACACACACACACCTGTTCAGTATTCTGGCGATGCCGAAGTCTCCCAGCTTGACCTTCAGGCCTCCTTGAGTGAGGAAGATGTTCTGGAGACCATGATGGACAGAATCAGACGGTTAGGGGTTAATGACAGACGAGCGGCGCTTTAACACACGCGTGTCTGACCGCACCTGAGCTTTGATGTCTCTGTGCAGGACCTTCCTATCGTGAATGTGCTTCAGTCCCAGACAGATCTGAACAAACCAGTCCACGATCTGAAACACACACAGACGATTTCATCCGAGAAAACACCTTTATTCACAAATGGTACATTATATCCACACACAATTAATGTGTAGAATTATCATTTCTATTTTAAATAAATGCAGTTCTATTCATGTAAGAATCCTCCATGTGCGTTTTTCATCAGGACAATACACAAAAATAAAACACAATATTTTATGGAAGCCTGTTTCCGGCACAGAATAAAGAAAAAAATAAAGCAAGCAAGCAAGCTAATTTTATTTATACAGCACTTTTCTAAACAAGTTAATGCAATTCAAAGTGCTTTACAGACACGAAGGAACCAAAATCATACAGCAATTAATAAAAATTAAACAACAGAATTAAAACAAAAATAAAATTGACCCATTAAAATACACAAATAAGAATAACGTTTATAAAGATTAAAATATGAAATATAGAATAAAACATAAAAAATGAGGCAAAACAAAACAAATGAAAGGCCAGACTAAAAAGATATGTTTTTAATTTAGATTTAAAACCATTAATGTTTTCAGCACATCTTATGCTCTCTGGAAGGTTGTTCGGCTAAAAGCAGCATCACCGAATCTTTTAGTTCGGCTATGAGGTACAGTTAGAAGAAAAGAATCAGAGGATCCAAGAGTTCTTCTAGGTTCATATACTGTAAGCATTTTTGAAAGATAGTCTGAAGCAAGTCCATGCAATGCCTTATAAACTAATAAAAGATTTTTCAAATCAATACGAAAACTAACAGGTAACCAGTGCAATGACTTTAATACTGGTGTAATATGATCTCTCTTTTTGGTTTTTGTCAATATTCGAGCAGCAGTATTTTGGATTAATTGTAATTGGTTAATTGTATTCTTCAGCAGAAATGAAAGGAGAGCATTACATTAGTCAAGCCTGCTAGTTATAAATGCATGCATTCATTTTTCTGTGTTGCTCAGAGAAAGAAACGGTCTTACTTTAGCAATGTTCTTCAGATGATAAAATGCTGTTTTGGTAATATTACGTACATGAGCTTTAAAGTTAAAATCAGAATCAAAGACAACTTTGTTTTTGTCAAAAAAAGTTTTTTGCCACATGGCTTGGGTTTAATCCGAGTATATTTAGTTTAGACTATGTCTATTTTTGAAGCAACTGATAGCAAAATTTTGGAAGAAACGATTGCACTGTATTTTATGTATAATCATTTTCTATTTTATTCTTAAATTCATTTTAAATCAATTTTTAAATCATTTTCAAAGTTTTTAAATTCCTTGTTTTATTTTTGTGATTATTTTTTATGATTATTTTACTTTCTTTTATGTAAAGCACTTTGAATTACCATTGTGTACGAAATGTGCTATATAAATAAACTCGCCTTGCCTTGCCTAGGGGTCAGTTTCTCTCTCTGCGCTTTTGATCCAATAATCAAAACTTCAGCTTTATCTTGGTTGAGTTGTAAGAAGTTTTGTGACATCCAGACATTTATGTCTTGGATGCAATTTGCGAGTGTATGAATTTGCACAGGGTCATCAGGAGACACGGCTACATACAACTGTGTGTCATCAGCATAGCTATGAAAAGAGATACCATGCCTCCTGATAATGTGACCGACAGGTAACATATATAGATTAAAAAAAGCAGTGGTCCTAAAACTGATCCCTGAGGAACCCCACATGGTACCTTGTAATATTCAAACAAGGTATTATAAATAGATACTACAAATGTTCTTTCACTAAGATATGATAAAAATCAATTTAAAACTGTTCCAGATAGACCAACATAGTCACTTAATCTATTTAAAAGAGTCTGGTGATCTATTGTATCAAACGCAGCACTCAAGTCTTTTTGCTATTTACTATGATTTACTATCTCAGGGAAATCAATCGATATAAGGAGTCAAAAATACTTTTAAAAAGAGAGGTAGGACTTGGATCAAAGGAACAAGTAGATGGTCTCAGTTCTGTTACAACCTTTCTTAGTGTCTCACCATCAGCCAAAGTAAAACTTTACATTTTAATAGTGTTCTCTACACCTAATGATGGAGGGAGCATAATTGACCGATTATCATTTATTAAACAGATTCCTGATCTAATGTTTATAACTTTATCTCTGAAGTAGCAAGCAAACTCTTCACATTTCGAACTTGGTAACTCAGAACTATACTCAATTTTATGATTTATTAGTGAATCTATTGTATTAAATAATAATCGGGGTTTATTGATATTTGCATTTAAAGGTAATTGCGACTTTTTATTTCACAATTTGGATTTTTTTTATATATATAACTAGAGATATAAATTCACAGTTCTGAGAAAAAAGTCAGAATTGTGAGAAATAAATTAGAATTCCGACTTTTTTTCTCAGAATCCTGAGTTTACATCTTGCAATTCTGTTTTTTTTTTATATTTTCCTTGAAGTTCTGAGAAAAAAGTCAGAAACGTGAGATATAAACTCACAATTCTGACCATTTTTTCACAATTCTGAGTTTTTTTTTTTTTCACTTCCACTATGGAATAAAAAAGATAATTACTATTTACAACTATTTACTACACAATTCTGACTTTCCTTTTCAGAATTGTGAAAAAAAGTCCAAATTGTGATTGTAAAATTGAGATGTAAACATAAAAAATAAAAAGCCACAATTACCTTTCTTATTTTTTTATTACCTGATAGAAACAAGCTTCCATAATTTTTGCTTATAGATATTTTTGCCAAAACATTTAATACATACTGCATACTATACCGCACAGAGACTTACTAAATGAATCCTTGTAACTTGCTGAATCGATTTGCTGAAATGAATCAAACTTACCAACTCTAACTCTGTTCGTTTAAACAAGAGACTCTATTGAATCGTCAGTCTGAACTCTCATGCTCACGAGACACGAGACGAATCATGAATCTCGTCTAATGCTTTCCTTTCTCTCAGCAGTAATGAATCCTGTCGTAGTGTTTGTGTCTTTGACCTGCTGCTCTGTGAAGGGTTTTCCTCTCTGCATCCTGATTCTCTTCATCAGATCGCCGGCGTCACAGTACTCCATCAGGATGTAGAAGTTATTCCTGTCTGGATATCACAAACAAACACAACATATCATTTACACGGATCTGTATCAGACACAATATAAAGAAAGAGTGAACGCATGCACACTGCAACACTGCTGAAATCAGGACAAGCGCAGCAACTGACCGTAAAATGATTTATAAAACGCCACAATGTTTGGATGTTTCATTTTGGACAGCAGAGTCACTTCCTTTCTGGAGGCGTCCTTATCCCGAGAGGACAACTGTTGGACATGTGACGCAGACAGAGAGAGAGAGAGAGAGAGACACACACACACACACACACACACACAGAGAGAGAGAGAGTCTGTAAGTTCAGGTGAGTTTGTTGTGTTTGTGTTTCTTCAGTGTGTCACATTTAGAAGAGCTCTGATGTTTCTTTTAGGGATAGTTCACCCAAATATGAATAATCTGTGATCATTTACTCTCCCTCTTTTACTTGTTCCAAACCCATAAGACTTTCATTCATCTCTGGAACACAAATGAAGATATTTTTAGTGAAATCAGAGAGGTGGCGAGCGTCGGTCCGCACAAGCTGATCAAGGTCTGAACGGTTGCTAGGCGGGTGAGTTATAATTAGGACCGGAGCTCTCCACCGCTGCTCTATTCCCAAATCTTCATTCAACAGATCATGCAATAAATCCATTTGAATCAAGCTGATTAATCTAAGTCTTCTGAAGAGACAGTCACTTTATATTAATGAACCGATATAATTTATGCTTTTGTGCACATATAAACACTGATCAGTGGACAATGATTACAGCATTCAGTTTTAATAAACGGAAAGTCAAGCCTGCTTGCTTGACGCGAGAGAAGTTTGAAGAGAAGTTTGTTATCGTGCAAGTACCGTTGAACTTCTTTATAAATTCACTGATCAATGTTTATATGTGAATAAAAGCTGAATTTAAATCTGTTTACCATGTAATGTGATCATGTCTCTTCAGAAGACTTGCATTAAACCCCTCGATTCTTATGGATTTATTTTACAATCTCTTTATGAATGTTTTGAAGCATCAGAGTTTTGGGGAAGTAAACTGACAATAAAGCAAAAGAAATCACTCAGATAAAAAAAAAAAAATTTAATTTGTGTTCTGAAAATTAATTGATTTTGGAGTGACATGAGATTGAGCAAATGTCGACAGAATTTTCATTTTTGGGTGAATTAAGCCTTTAACTGTTAACTGTCAATTTTTATGTTATGTAAGATTAGTTACATAAGACCAGTTGTTAAGATGGTATGACCCTGTTGGTTTATCAAAATGTTAATGTTGACGTTCAACATTTTACAAAAACTTGAAAAGTATAAAAAAATGTGTCAGAAAATGATAAAGTATTATTGAACCTGTACATTTTAATGTATGATTTTTCAAATTGCACACTTGCATGTTTTGTAAACAGTGGAATGTTCATGCAGAAACCTGACATTTACCTAACTGAAATACTGATGTTGCTTTTATCAATATATATATCGTAAATAATTATACTGTCCAGGTGAGATGCCTCAAAAAAACCTCATTAAAACATGCATATACACTACGTGGGGCCACTCCAGTACCCATACTGGGCCCTAGTATATCCCACATGTGCTTCATAAGTGGGACCAATATGGGTCCTATATGTGTTGCCCAGTTGGGCCCCACATTATCCCCAGTCAGGCCCCATATGAGATTCAGATGGGACAAACCCATGTAGGGCCCACATTTACAGCCCACACGGGCCCCATGATAGAATGTTGGCTGGGATGTGTCAACATTTTAATTCAGAATCAGTCTATTTTTCTGTTTTAATTCAAAGTTAACTGACTGTCAGCTGACTCGTGTTGGAAAAACGGAAAAGTCTCATAAGTCACGATCCGATGTTTAATCAGTCTCACCTGTGTCAGGTTGATCTCCTTGATGACGTAGAGCTGCGCGTGTCCCTGTCGCTGTCTGACCAGCAGCGCTCGCCCGAACGCGCCCTGACCGACCTGCCGAACCACCTCATACTGATCCATCACGAGGATGAAGAAGATGAAGAAGATGAGGATGAAGATGATCTTCTGCCAGACGGTCAGGACGCGCGTGAACACGAGCGGCGCGTCACCATAGCAACACGTCAACAGCGTCACCTGACGCCGACACGCGTGCAAATATTCTCACCGAACACGACTGAAGAAATGCAGAAGTTTGCTGGACACTAGTGTGAGGAGGAACCGTTCATAGAAATGGATTTCGAAAAAAAAAATATATATATGCCCGTAATACGGTGCATTATAACCTTTGTGGAACGCTGTTTAGGACTACCGTTTTTCTTATTCAAAAACAAACAAAGCTTTCACTTAAGTAAATCATGATTATTCACATATTCATATAAAGTGATTCGTTCAAGTATTTCATTTTTTGTGAATTTAAATAGGCGCGCACGAGACTCGCGGCAAATTCCATTCAAACAGAAAAACCGTTAAACTAGAGCTGCGCGCGAACATGGAGTCCTGAGGTAAGACACTTTTGCCTCACGAAACTATACCAGTTAATTAAATGTATATTAAAATATACATAGACATAATAACACTTAGATATAGATCACCTACAAGTGAAAGGGAAAAAAACACGTTTCATAATTGAATAACTCTGCCGCTTTTGAACTGGATTATAATTGAACCGAACTGAGCTCAGTAATAACACTTTTTCAGAGCTGCTTTACAGTATATTATTTAATAATATGACTTTTCAGAACTCCGCTATTCAGATTTAAATAAAGCCTTGAATTTATAACATTGAATTATTATAAAGAAATAGAAAAACACAATAATGGTGCCTAAAATTAGATCTCTATCCTTCCCAAATACTCTTACTTTATGACATGTTACTGAAACCCTTTTCTTCACCGGTCTCTGGTTTGTCTCTCTGTAATGTCCGTAGTTCGTCTCAAGGTGGCGTGCTAACATCGCATTTGCGTTCAAACTCGACATACGCCATGTTAGTAGATAAACAACTGGGGACTTGACTATGAAGCCAGTGTTAACTTGAACTCGATTTTAACTCAGTAACTCATAACATGATGATGTGTGGAGGAGTTTGTTCGCTGTTCTGTCACACTCACTCGTGTCCTGATGTTGTTCACTGTTCACTATCAGTATGCCAAGACTTGACTATGAAGCCAGTGTTAACTTGAACTCGATTTTAACTCAGTAACTCATAACATGATGCCGTGTGGAGTTTGTTCGCTGTTCTGTCACACTCACTCGTGTCCTGATGTTGTTCACTGTTCACTATCAGTATGCCATTACCCCGCTAATGTGAATCACTGTTCAGCGGTAACGGGACTGAATGAGTGCACTTGATAATGTCCATTATGGTTTTGGAGATCACTATTGGTCGTCCCCTCATTAGTGCACTTATATAAAGGTATAGGGGTGATTTCAGACAGCAATCGAGAAATACGTGTGGAGTAAGAACATAAGAGCAGAAGTGTTTAAACACACGAGCACAGTTCACCTTCTTTAACTTGATGTTGTTCTGCTGTTTTGTGTTCATCTGCTGCTCTCATTTGCTGGTTTTACGTTGACTAGCACTCTCATGCAATCAGATACAACAATCATTTCTCAAATATCTATACTGATAAATTCAACATTCACTGGATGCTTTCAGCTGATTTACTATTGAACTGTCAGCAACTGAACTGCAGCGTCAAACTATTTCAAATATAGTGAATTAAGCTACAAACTCGATCATAAAGCACAATGTTTCCATCTAACATGTGTTTAGAGCTGCAGCTCGTCACATTAATGGAGTGTTTCACTAGTTAGCAGTAAACCGGTTACCTGTGTCGGATGTTATCTTTGGAATGGAAATATGGGTATTTTATTTGTAAACATCATACTTTTTTTTAATCTTATTTCAGTTAATGTCATAAAACTAGCGAGCTGAGTCAGTAGCAGTGCTAACAGTGTCGTGTAAACATGACTGAAGACGCGGAAAGAGAAACAGACGAACCGATTCAATTGAGTGAGTCATTTACGCTGGAACCGCTCCGATTGATTCAAACTCGGGACTTCGATCATTCAGTTCAAGCGATTCACTAGCAAAAACCAGATCCAAAGAGTGATTCATTTTCGAATTTCGACATCGCTTGTAATGATTTTAAAAAGCACTAGTGATGGGTGAAACCGAGCTTTTCGAAACTCTGAACCAGTTAAACCATTGCGTCGCAAAATGATTCACTGTTTCGAAGCGCTCCAATCGGACAGCGAATCGCGAATCATTTGATTCAGATCGGGACTTCGGATCGCGATGCAGTTTTGGCTGCTGTAGGGTGAACAGAACGTTATATAGTTTCCATATACTAATCTGAATCAACTCTGAATGAAGAAAAGAGAGATTTCGAGCCAGATTTTTGTTTATGTGAAATGTAGCAGGAAACACAAATCAATGAAGTTATATTTCCCTATATTCTCTTTTGAGTAGTCCAATTTTAAAGTACTGTAACAATTAACTATTATTCATTTATTTGGTTACTTTTTTTTTTTTCTTAGAACATGTTATCAAGTTCTCAGTTAAAGCACAGAGGTATTTGAGCCTCTCCTGAATAACTGACCTCTGGACATTACATCCGCAGTAATTCATAATTCATATTCACTCATCTTTTCTTAAATAAGTACAGTTGCATAAACCTCTATAATGGTAAACGAGAGAAGACAGCAAATGATTTCTGGCTTCTCATTTGCTCTGATAGCAAAAGAAAAAAATCCACAATGGTGTTTCCAAGACTTTACCAAAGAGGAAAAATATTGAGAAATTAGTTACATTGATTAGAATAGAGAAAGCTGGCAAATTTCCCATCGGTCCCTCCATTGTTGCAGTAGAAACACCCTTGCAGTGTTTCTTAACTAATTCTGTCTAACTAAGTAATGTAAGACTAAGTATATTAGATGTTCCACGGATATCAGTAACTAAAACCACTAAAAATGTAATTACTTTGAAAATAAAGTACACGTTTACTGAAATAAAATCTAAAAATACTAATTTTGTCAGCTAGTTGCCACGGCAACGTTTCTAATTCTCATTTAAGTGGGAGCACTAAAAAAAAAAACAAATTAAATAAACTAAAAAAATAAATAATTAAAAACTATATAGACACGAAAACTAATAAACATGACCAAAAAAAACAAATTATAAAATGTAATTAAAATATTATAAGCAACTATAATAGTATATAAATAATACTGAAACAACACTTAAATGAACAAAAAATATTTAAATAATGAAAATATGAAACGCTTTGCTATATTTACAATGTAAATGTGATGGAAACCATCAGTCTGTGAAAAGGCTCGTATTTTATAGCAGTTTTATGTTGTTTTAATATGATGAGATCGATCTCGGAGTGAAGATGCTTGTGTCTGTCGCAGTGAAGCCTGTTTAACATGAAGAAACGGCCTTCTGCTGTAACGTCAATGTTTTAGATTAAAATACTGCGTTCCTGCACACACTTACAGTGCTATAACCGTATAGGACTGGACGGCCCACCGTGAAGAAACTGATAAAAACATCAATTACTGCTGAATAAACAGAAGCTCGACGCCGAGAGAGCGAGCCTTTATGAGCAGAGCTCGTCCTCGGCTGAGCTCTCCAGATGTTGATTTAATTACACGTTAATAATCTCGCCGGCACAGAGCCAATCCACACCGTTACCGGACCTCCATATGAAGATAAAGACATCCATCACGGACTCCAGCAGCTCCCCGCGGCTCAATAAGAGCACCAGCAGGTGGGGGATCGGTCTTCTGCCAAATTACTTTGACGTTATTGGAGGAGGAAAAAACAGAGAAGAATCTAGATGAACTGTGGGGCGTTTGGACGGATGAGGTGAACCGCAGGTTAATGCAGCAGACAAATGAGCCAATAAAAGCAGAATTGAGATGAATGACACAACCATCGGCTGAGATCGGAGGAAGCCAACGACGCATTATGAAGCAGACGCCTCGAACCATCGGCTGAAACATAAAGCGTGATGGATGACAGAGGCATGTATAAAACCGACTGATTCATGGCAAAGGACGTCAGCGTTTGATAAAGTAGATCATTTGGTGTAAACATTTATTGGTTCACAAACTGAAATAAAAATGGACTTGCACCAGTAAACACTGAACAGCCTTTCAGACTTCCACACATATTTCTAAAAGAAAAAATAGATTCATATTGTATAAATGTGCAAACCGTTGTTCTTTTTATTGTTTTTCTCTTTTTTTATTTTCCCCAGTACGAATCTAACATTAAAAGACCCCAACAAAACAAGAATTGGCATGACGTGTGTGAAAACGTCAAACACAAGCGTTCAACTTATTAAAAACGTGACCGTGGATCTACTGAGGTGCAGTGTGATGTCTTAAATTAAAAACAGAAATTAGCACAAATGCTGTCGCTCTTACCGCACAATTCACAGAGGAAACAGAACCAACTGAATTATGCAGCTACTTTATAAATTATTTACAAAAAAGCAGGTTGTGTTTGTCATGAGACGGCGAAGTGCGTTTGTCTTTGTTCGTCCGACTGAAGGCACACGCGACACACGGAGCGCCGGCGGCTGACGAAGAAAGACTGAATACACACGTGAAACCAAATGGAAAAAGTGTTTGAACACCAGATTATTCAAACACAAAACAAAGAAGAACACAGTTCCGGCTGTATTTTGGGATGTTCCAGTCATCTGTCCAGTGAGAGAGCGTTACACAGCTGCGTTCAGTCTGCCGTGTGAACCGGGCCGCTCGCCGTGGGTCACTGCAGGAGACACACGACACTCAGAACTAACCCTGGAGAAACAGCAGGTGCAGCCCAACATTCACGGATCATACGGCCACCACTGATCCATAACCATCCGTTTAAGCTGCAGTGTTGTACTTTTGTTGCATCATCAGTTTTGTGCAACAACAAAATCAGCTTTATAATGGCCGTATTGACCACACTATCATACAATATAGTGATATGTCACAATCTAAATTTAAAGCTAATAAAAAAAAATTTGTTTAATTTACATAAATACTTACTAAAATAAAATTGGGAAAAAACTCAATTGGGAAATTAAGTCAAAATAAATAAATCGGTAACACAATAAGGTAACGCTAGTTAACTACTTGAACTGAGCATGAACTATACTTCTACAGCATTTATTAATCTTAGTTAATTTCAAAAGTTGTGCTTGTTAACATTAGTTAATGCACTGTGAATTAACATGAACTAACAATGAACGACTGTATTTTCATTCACTAACATTAACAAAGATTAATAAATACTGTAATAAATATATGTGACCCTGGAGCACAAAACCAGTCATAAGGGTCAATTTTGTGAAATTGAGATTTATACATCATCTGAAGGCTGAATAAATAAGCTTTCCATTGATGTATGGTTTGTTAGGATAGGATAATATTTGAAAATCTGGAATCTGAGGGTGCAAAAAAATCTTAATATTGAGAAAATCATCTTTAAAGTTGTTCAAATGAAGTTCTTAGCAATGCATATTACTAATCAAAAATTACGTTTTAATGTAGGAAATGTACAAAATATCTTCATGGAACATGATCTTTACTTAATATCCTAATGATTTTTGGCATAAAAGAAAAATCGATAATTTTGACCCATACAATGTATTGTTGGCTATTGCTACAAATATACCCCAGCGACTTAACACTGCTTTTGTGCTGCAGGGACACATATTGTTCATTCATGTTAGTTAATACATTAACTAATGGAATGTTATTGTAAAGTGTTACCAATAAATCTGTAAAACAAGATTTATCTTGTAGATGTATTCAATAATCCTATAACAGTATTTTCCCCACAAAACATGCTAAAAATCAACCAACAAACTGGACAGGGTTGGAGCTGAGCTCTGCAGGAGAAGTGGATCTGGAGGACCGCGGTGGCCCGTATCGTAACCTGCTTCACTTACACTGAGATCTGTAGACAGCGCTTTCCTCGGCGGCTTGCTGCCTCGACCCGCGGGCCGGATCCCCACCGGAGCCTAAACAGAGCACGAACACACATTAACTCAACTATCGCTTCTCCTCACACTTTATCTGTATCTCTATATTTAGTGCTGAGGGCCAGTCTGAATGTTTTATTCAAACTCTTGCACATTTGATGCCGGCTGAAGTGGCTAATAATGGCATTAAATGCTTCTGAATTGGCATGTTAATGTGATCTGGATTGTGATTGGTGGGCTCACCTGACTGGAGATTATGGGCGGGGCTTGAAGTAACGGGGGCCGAATCTGAGGGCTGTACTGGAGCGTCTGTCCCAGCAGAGGGCAGCGCACGTCACCTGACACAACAACACACCTGATGACCCTCAAGACGTCTCCTAATAAACACCAGACAGGACCAGAGGACTCACCTTGTCCTGAAACCAAGGATCTGGAGAAGTGAGGCATGATGGGAACAGTGTTGAGGCTGGGACGGATGCTCTTTACGTTACTGAGGTGTGTTGGTGTGGGAGACTGGGCCGGTGAGGACGAGCTTCCCAGCTGAGGACTGCTCTGTGAACAAACCGTTCAACATCTCGATGAAGCTTCAGTGCAACCGAGATCAGGATGAGTTTGTTTCTTCATCAGGTTTGGAGAAATGTAGATTCCTTTAACATTAAACGAGCATACGGAGGCGCATTAGTGATTTTATTGTTGTCAGATCTGCACATGGATTCTGAGTCTGAGGAAGTGAAACGCTCATAATTACGGTAATTATGTTACGTACTCTAAATGCTCTGATAGGTAAAATACATTTACTTTGATCTGTTTCCACTGCAGCGGGGAATGAGACTGAGGCTGCTGGGACGCAGGTAACGTCAGGTGCATCATCATCATTCCAGCTGCTGCTGGGGGCGGAGCTCCTACACACACACACACACACACACACCACACGCGCACACACACGCACACACACTCACCACGCACACACACACCACACGCGCACAGAAACCAACACATCCACTCACACACACATGTGCACACACACAATTACACACACACACACACAAACACAATTACACGCGCACACAATTACACACACACACACATCACACACACACACACAATTACACACACACACACACACAATTACACAATGCCTGCAACATCAGAATCATAAAAACACAAACTGAGCCGTTACTTCTGGTCTTTTATTCTGGCACCTTCACTTTGTAAGCACCATAACAGTGAACATTATGAAAATTATGAAGCCACGGTCAAAGCAGGGTTATTTTAGTTTAACTTGGAAGTATTAAAATAACCGAGACTAAATGAACCAAAACCAATAAATTAAAAAATATACACACATTAATACAAAACTAATAAAAATTACACACAACAAAACAAAGTGAAAACAGAAAAAAATGAAAGAAAATATTAAAAAGACATTGATAGTCGATCAATGCTATGTGTGTATAGATAGAGATATAATGAGGAACGAGTGATGATTTAACTGATGAAACGGTTGAACTGAAACAGAAGAGTGATATCCAGACGTCTCGTGGTGTCGGCGCTGAAGAGCCGCTCTTTCTCTCGCCGCCTAATCCTCCGATCAAATTAAACCACAAGACACTTGAGAAGGGGAACAGAATCTAGTTTGAGTATTTGAGAAGAGCGCTTCTAGCCTCCTCTTTTAATTGGTTATGAAAGACGAGCGATCAGAGAGAAGCCATTCACATTAATGGAGGACACATCCACGGCAAATGAGAATTACAGGAGCCGTGAAGGCCTTCTTCAAGAGAAGAACAAAGCAAAACAGGAATTACTTTTTAATTACCAATTTAAAAACCGTTAAAAAATTTTTCGTTACTTGAAATAAATGTTAACTGGAATTTAAAAAAATGTTTATGTTTAAAATTATATTTCAGCTAGTCTCATTTAAATTTTGTTTGACTTGATGCACTAAAACTAACACCGAAATAAAAATTTATCAAAACAATAGACATATAAAACTAAACGTAAAAACACGTAAAAACGTCGAAAATTTTAATAAAAACTATAATAGTATCTGCTTATAAGCACTAACTTGAGAAATATACTTTTTAAAATTAATTATATTGTTAATGTAAAAATAGAATAGTTTTGGTGGTTGTGTTCTTGATGGAGATCAGTGTAACTTTGCCTCCTCATTTCTGATCATGAAGAGAATAAACCGGCCGATGCAGTATTTGTTTGACCTCAATGACTGAGCGCAGTGATTTACTGTAACGATATTTCCCATCATGCATCTGTCAGAAGAGCAGAACGCTGGGAACCTCACCGTGTGAATGTAGTGCAGAAGCAGAGAGGAAGCGGCGTATGGGCCGTACCTGAGCACTGTTGGGTGGGAATCTGTTGCGAGACGCAGGGTGCCGTGGTGCGGTGGAGCGGCATCTGCTCCGCTCCTGAAGGAGGCAGGAACCCCACGGAGGAGCTGAGGAGACCAACACATGGGCTTCAACACGTCAGCTACACAGATCATCAGTATTCACCGCGCTGCAGCGGCTCTGGCGCTTTAATAAGGACATGAGCTCAAGGAGCCCTTCACCCATCTGTGAGCCGCTTCATATGAAGCATGTGCTGCGGCGAGATCGCTCCCTCACGGGACCCGCCGCGTTATATTAACACCAGCTGCATTTCTGGCCTTATAAATCATCCTGAGCGTGGCCTACTAAAGTCAAGATCACCGAGAGACGACGCAGAACTAACCTGTTTAACCCGTACGGATAGAGCCGTTCTACACCAGACTGAAACCATTCTCATGTTGAGCTTGTAGCAGATTAAATCAGTCTATTCTATATTCTAAAGAAATATATGAGCATTCGTCAGCAGACACGTGTCAAATCATTATGAATTCACCTGGTTTTTACAACAGTTTCACACTCAATCAGCTTCAGTATTCCACCGGCGGATCGTCACAATATTGTGTGCTTTACATCCTAATTATGACACTTTCCAGATCTGTTTTGGAAATCGGTACACACAAATGTTTTATATTTAACTCCCCAGTCCTGAATGTCACTGTAACGCCCTCTGCTTCTTTTGAGACTGACATTTATGCATTTGACAGATGCTTTATTCCAAAGTGACTTTCATTGCATTTAAAGTGCAAACTTGATCAGTTCATGCATTCCATAGGAATCGAACCCGTGACCGTGGCGTTGCTAGTGCAATGCTACAAGAATAAGGGACAACTGGCTTTCTTCATATGAAATATGGTGTTTTATTAATCAAATTTTTTTTATACCAGACGTATGTAGTAGGGCTGCACAATTTGAGAAAAAAATCAAATTGGAATTTTTCCGATAAAAATTGGGATTTAAAATGCGATAATTCCAGGTTTGCTGCGCTTGTTCATAGGGCTGCACAATTTGGCCAAACTTTTGTGATTATTATGGGCCGTACCTGAGCACTGCTGGGTGGGAATCTGTTGTAAGCCGCAGGGTGCCGTGGTGCGGTGGAGCGGCATCTGCTCCGCTCCTGAAGGAGGCAGGAACCCCACGGAGGAGCTGAGGAGACCAACACATGGGCTTCAACACGTCAGCTACACAGATCATCAGTATTCACCGCGCTGCAGCGGCTCTGGCGCTTTAATAAGGACATGAGCTCAAGGAGCCCTTCACCCATCTGTGAGCCGCTTCATATGAAGCATGTGCTGCGGCGAGATCGCTCCCTCACGGGACCCGCCGCGTTATATTAACACCAGCTGCATTTCTGGCCTTATAAATCATCCTGAGCGTGGCCTACTAAAGTCAAGATCACCGAGAGACGACGCAGAACTAACCTGTTTAACCCGTACGGATAGAGCCGTTCTACACCAGACTGAAACCATTCTCATGTTGAGCTTGTAGCAGATTAAATCAGTCTATTCTATATTCTAAAGAAATATATGAGCATTCGTCAGCAGACACGTGTCAAATCATTATGAATTCACCTGGTTTTTACAACAGTTTCACACTCAATCAGCTTCAGTATTCCACCGGCGGATCGTCACAATATTGTGTGCTTTACATCCTAATTATGACACTTTCCAGATCTGTTTTGGAAATCGGTACACACAAATGTTTTATATTTAACTCCCCAGTCCTGAATGTCACTGTAACGCCCTCTGCTTCTTTTGAGACTGACATTTATGCATTTGACAGATGCTTTATTCCAAAGTGACTTTCATTGCATTTAAAGTGCAAACTTGATCAGTTCATGCATTCCATAGGAATCGAACCCGTGACCGTGGCGTTGCTAGTGCATGCTACAAGAATAAGGGACAACTGGCTTTCTTCATATGAAATATGGTGTTTTATTAATCAAATTTTTTTTATACCAGACGTATGTAGTAGGGCTGCACAATTTGAGAAAAAAATCAAATTGGAATTTTTCCGATAAAAATTGGGATTTAAAATGCGATAATTCCAGGTTTGCTGCGCTTGTTCATAGGGCTGCACAATTTGGCCAAACTTTTGTGATTATTTATCAATACGGCTATAAAATAATACTAATAATTATTACTACTACTATTAAAAAATACTAAATAAAAACAAAAAGATATTTTACTATTGTAATATTTGACCGTAAATTAAAAACTACAAGCATTTAAGAAGAGAGTGAAGAGTACTACAGGTTGGCTCACGTTTCATTCCCAAATGCACATTAAAGTGACTCCGACACAGACACAGAGGTGGAGATTGAGAGGATTTGCTTTGAGCTGCTCACGTGCAAATCAACACAGTACCGCGCTTCACTCTGAAACACAGCTCTCTTCATTTATTTTGTTCATTTATAATTAAAGCCTTTGAAATTTGATAATCGCACTAAGCCATATTGCAATTTTGTTTTTTGATTAATCGCGCAGCCCTATCTGTAGTTTCTAGAAGATCTGGATGAATCCTAATACTTCTGCAACTCAAATAAATGGTCCAGTTTGCCGGTGTAAGTGAATGGGTGCATGCGCACCTGCCGGCGCTCTGCTGGTTGGGAGGAATGATGCTGTAGTATGAAAATAATATCCAGATTCTGAATGCATTAAGAGGGTTATTAAAATATTTAGATCACAAGTATCTGTAGATCAGATCTGGACTAACATGATCAACAAATCACTGCGGAGCAGCTGGACCTGATGCACGTTTGCAGATTCATGTCGTCAATTACAGCTAATGAACCCTTACCAGCGGAACGCTTTAAATCACAGCGGCGTTAAAACTGCCTCTCATAATCCGAACGCACGCGCTCCCTGAATGACAGTAGCTTACGTAATGGCCGCGATGTCACGTCTGTGAAAGCTCAGCGTAAGAACAGGCATGGCCCATTATGAGCGGGGTAATTTGCATTGGTGTCAAGGTTATGGAGGGAGCGCGTAACCCCACGCTGCTATCAAACGCGCTCTCCGCGGAGGAGCTGCCCTGTGGGAGTTTTCAATCTCTGCTGGCTTTTGGCCAAAGGGACGGCAATCAATTTAGCCCAGATGAGCGCAGAAGTGGGACAAAGGAAACGGACGGCCCGCGGCGAGGAGACGGTGAACGCGTGCTATTTTTAGCTCTTTTCTCTCACCTCCACTGAGGAGCAAAGCATGATGGGAATGTCAAATTAAACACTCCAGCTGAGCGAGCAGGAGAAAATGCTTTTCACTGGAGTCAGGAACATCTGAAGGGTTTCATTTTTGGGGCAAATATCATAATTCCATCTCTACACACAGCATGCAGACATTATTCCAACAAGTTCTTTTACGATGCAAATGAAATACACGTTATTCACATCTGTGTATTTTTATTAGAAATGAGCTCTCATTACATTAAACCCAACAGAAATCAGATCTCATCTGAAGTGTGTAAATCTGTAACTTTTAATATCAGACTGTTTTGAGACTGAAGCTGTTTTACACGGATTCATTTGATATGAATGATGTGATCTTGTGATTTTTTTCAAGATCCAGTTATAGAAAATCAAATGAGACGAGCAGCTTTTATTTACCATATTATACAAACACAGACATTACCACATGATTATTTAATATATAAAACATTTTTAGATTACATTTTTTAAATGTTTTTAGAAGTCTCTTATGTTTACCAATATTTATTTGATCAAAAATACAGTAAAAACAATAATATTCAAAAATATTATTAAATTTTTTTGGAAACTGTGATACTCTACCATTCAAAAGTTTGGGGGGTCAGTAAGATTTAAAAAGAACAAAAAAACGATACTTTTATTCATCAAGGACGTATTAAACTGATCAAAAGCAACAGTAAAGACATTTATAATGTTACAGAAGATTTCTATTTCAAATAAATTCTGTTCTTTTGAACTTTCTAATTATCTGTGAATCCTGAAAAATAAAATGCATCACGGTTTCCACAAAAATATTGTGCAGCACAACTGTGTTCAACATTGATAATAATCAGAAATGTTTCTAATAATCAGCATATTAGAATGATTTCTGAAGATCATGTGACACTGAAGACTGGAGTAATGATGCTGAAAATACAGCTGCGCATCACAGAAATACATTACAGTTTAACAGATATTCACATAGAAAACAGCTGTTTTACATTCTAATAATATTTCACTGTTTTTACTGTATTTTTGATCAAATAAAAGCAGCCTTGATGAACAGAAGAGACTTCTTTAAAAACATTAAAACAAGTACTAAAGACATACCGCAATCTGTCAGTAACTGACCCAAAAAAGAGAAATGTTCAACATATTATTCAAACGGCACAGACACTGAAGGCTTAATGTCGTGTGACTCACAGACGGACTGAAACGCAGCGTGATCCTGCAGACGAGTGTTCGAGGAGGAGTGAGGGGCTGGAAAAGAGACCGGTTCACTGTGAGAATCGTAGGGCGTCTCAGACAGTGCCTCGGCCCCGCATCCAGCCGCTCCGACAGCATCGGTCCCGTTCCCATCAGCACCTCACGCTCGCAGATATTCACTGCTTCATGAAAAGCTTCTTCAATTCAATGCAGTCAAACATCTGTCACCGCACGCAGGTTGCAGAAGAGAACAATACGGCCAAAACAAAACGTGTATTGTGTGTGTTGTAAAGGGCCAAACGCCTGCATCGCTGTAATTAGCTCTGAGCTGCGATCTCCTGCCCCTTTGGCTTGTTTAGTTGGGGACGCTTGACTGATTACACAGACACTATTGAAGAGAGCTGAACTGGATGAAGACATCACTGAATCATCAATCAACTGACTTTGGCTGATAAACTTACTGTTTTCTATTGTCCTCTTGCATTATCAGCACACGTTTTTCCTGTTTGACACTGTAAAGCTGCTTTGACACAGTCTGTATTGTATAAAGCGCTGTATAAATAAAAGTGACTTGACTTCGTGAGCCAGTAGAATCCATCAGTTCTAGATTCCCAAACATTCATGTTGCAAATCTTGCAATAATCCAGTGAGATTGTGGTATGAACCAGGAGAAGGTCAGATCTCAGCATCATCGAGTTTGTCTCAGACAGAAACTACTGAGACTAAAGCCCAAATACACAGAAGAACTGTGGAAACTTCTTTTTTTATTTCAATGAAATGAATGTACTATATTTTAGTTTGATTCAATATTTTTCATTTTTATGGTTTTTATGGTTCTAAATTATATTTATGTAATAGTTATGATCCATTTATTACCCTTTAATCACTTTTTGAGCAGAGACCTGAAAATTACATTTCCAACTTAAACTGGTAAATCTTGAATGCTTGAAGACACTTGGAAGATTATTGCTGAAGTGAAAAAAGTTTTTTTTTTTTTTAATTAAGTTTAAGTTTATTATTATGAAAAATGCACAAAAATTCTGTTTTTAAAATTTATATGAATTATTTTCCAAAACATGTTTTACTCTAAAATTGCAAGAAAATCAAAGCCATAAATCTAAACAAAGTTGTGTTCCGAATTTGAGGACGATATCTTAAAATGAGCTTTTGGTGAGATTTCATTTGGCCGCAGTACCAAACGTTTCCACTAGATGAAATTAATTTCTAATGCACTCATTTTCGACTGCAAACAGCACAAGTGTGACTAATTTTTTCAGTACCATTTAACCTTTTCGAATCATGTCCATGTTTTGTGTGTGTTCACAAAGCAAGTGCAAAAACCTTTACAAAGGATTGTACCATTCAAATGAAGTAAAAAATAATTTTTAAAACCAAAACAAAACGAAAAAATTCAGTCAAAAATGACTGAACAACACCAGAGGGTTAAAAGGACTGTAATATTTAGTGTGTTGGCTGCTGTTTAGCATATTGTTTCCGCTCTGGTGTGTGGTGTTCTCGCTCTGGTGTGTGGCATTCTCGCTCTGGTGTGTGGTGTTACCGCTCTGGTGTGTGGCGTTCTCGCTCTGGTGTGTGGCGTTTCCGCTCTGGTGTGTGGTGTTCTCGCTCTGGTGTGTGGTGTTTCCGCTCTGGTGTGTGGTGTTTCCGCTCTGGTGTGTGGTGTTTCCGCTCGGGTGTGTGGTGTTCTCGCTCTGGTGTGTGGTGTTTCCGCTCTGGTGTGTGGTGTTTCCGCTCTGGTGTGTGGTGTTTCCGCTCGGGTGTGTGGTGTTCTCGCTCTGGTGTGTGGTGTTTTCTCTCTGGTGTGTG